ACTCCAAACACCTACAAGAACAAGACGAGTTAGACTCCAAACACCTACAAGAACAAGACGAGTCAGACTCCAAACACCTACAAGAAAGAGACGAGTCCTAATATGAACAGAACACCTACAAGAACAAGACGAGTCTGACTCCAAACACCTACAAGAACAAGACGAGTCTGACTCCAAACACCTACAAGAACAAGACGAGTCTGACTCCAAACACCTACAAGAACAAGACGAGTCTGACTCCAAACACCTACAAGAACGAGACGAGTCCTAATATGAACAGAACACCTACAAGAACGAGACGAGTCTGACTCCAAACACCTACAAGAACAAGACGAGTCTGACTCCAAACACCTACAAGAACAAGACGAGTCTGACTCCAAACACCTACAAGAACAAGACGAGTCTGACTCCAAACACCTACAAGAACGAGACAAGTCTGACTCCAAACACCTACAAGAACAAGACGAGTCTGACTCCAAACACCTACAAGAACAAGACGAGTCCTAATATGAACAGAACACCTACAAGAACAAGACGAGTCTGAATCCAAACACCTACAAGAACAAGACGAGTCTGACTCCAAACACCTACAAGAACGAGACGAGTCTGAATCCAAACACCTACAAGAACGAGACGAGTCTGACTCCAAACACCTACAAGAACGAGACGAGTCTGACTCCAAACACCTACAAGAACGAGACAAGTCTGACTCCAAACACCTACAAGAACGAGACAAGTCTGACTCCAAACACCTACAAGAACGAGACGAGTCCTAATATGAACAGAACACCTACAAGAACGAGACGAGTCCTAATATGAACAGAACACCTACAAGAACGAGACGAGTCCTAATATGAACAGAACACCTACAAGAACGAGACGAGTCCTAATATGAACAGAACACCTACAAGAACGAGACGAGTCTGACTCCAAACACCTACAAGAACGAGACAAGTCTGACTTTATACACCTAGAAGAGGAAAGATCAGCAGGTGACTGAAGTCATAAAGAATTATCTTCTGAACATCTAAACAAAATGTGACACCACCAAACACCAACATCACCACCGTCACTGGGTCCAAAGATTGTGATGAAGACGAGGGGAAAGACACAGACTGAACAGAAGTCAGCTGAGACTCAGTGTGTGTGTGCTGGTGTGGTCCTACCTGGGGGAGCTCGGCCTCAGAGGGCGGTTCCCCCTCATGAATTACGCCGAGCCTCGCTCTGACACGGAGATACTTCACCTGCCCGCCCGGCGTGACAGGCGACGAGCCGGCAGAGCGCGCTCAGTGCTTAATGGCTAAATTGGGAAGACTGTTACTAATCGCTTATTGAATAATGAAAGTGACATAGCTGATAAAAGATTTCAATACGGTGGATTATTTATAATATTTCACTTAAGCCTCTCCGGCTGACTAATAGGGGGGCGAGGCGAAGGCTCATTGTGGAGCTCAGGAAAAGTGTTTGATAATAAAACGGTCACAGGGAGGAAGAGGAGTAACTACATCCAGTCCTGTTAAAGAACCTGTGATAAGTGAAGAGAAGAAGATGAAGGAAAGACAAGGGGGGGGGGGGGGGGGGGGGGGGGGGGCAACAAGAGACAGAAAGATAGAAGATGACATGAGACGCAGACAGGATTAGAGGATGGAAATTAAGAAAGATAACAAATAGCCGAAGACAATAAGGAGAGAGAAGGAAGGAGACAGACAAAAGCAAGAAAGGGAGGAAAGAAATAAAGGAGAAAAGAGGAGGAAAACTGATAGACCAGAGGTTGAAAAAAATGAATAAATGAAAGAAAGGAATGATGAGAGGACAGAAGGATAGAGAAAAGGAAAGAAGAGGAAACAAGGAAAGGAAAGAAAAGGAGAGATAAAAGATGGGGTTGAAAAATAGAATGAGAAAATATTAAAACCAGGGAGAAGAGAGGAGAGAAACAGACAATGGAAACTGAGAGAGGACAAGGAAAGGAGAGGAGGTAATGGCAGAGAGGAGAGGAGAGGAGAAAGGAAAGTAGGAAATGTAAGGAGGTGGAGAGACGAGAAGAAAGCAAACAAGGAATGCAAAGAGAAGAGGAGAAAATGGACTGGAAAAACAAGGACAGGGACAAGAGGAGAAAGGAAAGAAAAATTAAAGGAAAGGGTGTGAAGGGAGGCGAGGAGACGTTAGAAAAGAAGGATCAAAAAGAAAACCAAGGAAAAGAGGAGGAGAGGAGGAAGCAGACAGAGCGTCGATCCGTCACTCCGACAGCCACTTGCCTTGTCAGCTGGTTGAAGCCTCCGTGATGGAGAGACGAACATTACACATCTGGTGCTGCTGCCACATCTGTTCAGCCAGCCACAGTGTGTGCTAACCAGTGTGTTAGCCAGTGTGTGCTAACCAGTGTGTGCTAACCAGTGTGTTAGCCAGTGTGTGCTAACCAGTGTTTGTTAATCAATGTGTGCTAACCAGTGTGTTAGCCAGTGTGTGCTAACCAGTGTTTGTTAATCAATGTGTGCTAACCAGTGTGTTAGCCAGTGTGTGCTAACCAGTGTTGTTAATCAATGTGTGCTAACCAGTGTGTTAGCCAGGTGTGCTAACCAGTGTTGTTAATCAATGTGTGCTAACCAGTGTGTTAGCCAGTGTGTGCTAACCAGTGTTTGTTAATCAATGTGTGCTAACCAGTGTGTTAGCCAGTGTGTGCTAGCCAGTGTTTGTTAATCAATGTGTGCTAACCAGTGTGTTAGCCAGTGTGTGCTAGCCAGTGTTTGTTAATCAATGTGTGCTAACCAGTGGGTGCTAGTCAGTGTGTGTTAGCCAGTGTTTGTTAATCAATGTGTGCTAACCAGTGTGTGCTAGCCAGTGTGTGTTAGCCAGTGTGTGCTAACCAGTGTGTGTTAATCAATGTGTGCTAACCAGTGTGTGCTAACCAGTGTTTGTTAATCAATGTGTGCTAACCAGTGTGTGCTAGCCAGTGTGTGCTAGCCAGTGTTTGTTAATCAATGTGTTAGCCAGTGTGTGTTAATCAATGTGTTAGCCAGTGTGTGTTAATCAATGTGTTAGCCAGTGTGTGTTTATCAATGTGTTAGCCAGTGTGTGCTAATCAGTGTGTGTTAGCCAGTGTGTGTTAATCAATGTGTTAGCCAGTGTGTGTTAATCAATGTGTTAGCCAGTGTGTGTTAATCAATGTGTTAGCCAGTGTGTGTTTATCAATGTGTTAGCCAGTGTGTGCTAATCAGTGTGTGTTAGCCAGTGTGTGTTTATCAATGTGTTAGCCAGTGTGTGCTAATCAGTGTGTTAGCCAGTGTGTGTTTATCAATGTGTTAGCCAGTGTGTGTTAATCAATGTGTTAGCCAGTGTGTGTTTATCAATGTGTTAGCCAGTGTGTGCTAATCAGTGTGTGTTAGCCAGTGTGTGTTTATCAATGTGTTAGCCAGTGTGTGCTAATCAGTGTGTGTTAGCCAGTGTGTGTTAATCAATGTGTTAGCCAGTGTGTGTTTATCAATGTGTTAGCCAGTGTGTGTTTATCAATGTGTTAGCCAGTGTGTGCTAATCAGTGTGTGTTAGCCAGTGTGTGCTAATCAGTGTGTGATAGCCAGTGTGTGCTAATCAGTGTGTGTTAGCCAGTGTGTGCTAATCAGTGTGTGTTAGCCACTGGACTGTTACCATGTCTTTAAGACTCGACCCGACTTGTACTGATTTTATTATTTTCTCGATTACTAACTGTTAGCTTGCCCAGCTGATGCACAACTTTAACTCCACTCTCTCACAGTTCAAGACAGAAAGACAACCATAAATCAATACAAAATAATACATAAAAACACAAGATGAACCAAACTTAATGCAACCAAACAACCGTTTCTAAGCAAAGACCGTTCAGAAATAGAACAAACAGCCTGCAGCAATCACAACTCTCCAGATGACGCCATGTGACTTATGAAAGGTGCATTTACTACCTATCCATTCAAAAAATACACCTGGTCAGCAATAAGACTCGTGTGTAACTGTGTTGAACATCGCAAAGGTTCGCGATGTCGTTTCCCCAGAATGACACTTATGGCTTATTTTTCTACCTTCGCCTTTATCTTTTCTTTTTCTTCTGACGAATATGGACATACACTCTGCTCCCACTGTGACTCCTAAATCTAAAGTAGTGCACTTTAGACTGACCACCGCCTCGCACTTCTCACACAAACTATTCGGCGTGGACCAAACAGCAAAGGTTATGTCACAAACTGGTTCACACGGAGACAGAAGAAGAAGAAGAAAAAGAAGAAGAAGACAATCCAACAGGATGAAGAGATGAAGGGCTGACAGAATGAGAGGATGAAGAGGTCCGTCCCTCACAGCCGAGGTAAGGAGCCTCAGACGATCACATGACTGCGTTTCCCAACCCTGGTCCCAAATCAGCAGCGTTATTAACTCATTAAATGTGTACTTTTACAGAATACTGTAAGTAACTATACTTCTTTATGGAAGTACTTGTAATTATACACATTTATAGATATTTTAAAGCATTTGGAAGTAATTGGAATAATCCAAGTAGAAACACATTTGGAAATACAAATAGATAAATATTTGGAAGTATAAAGGTAGTTAGATATTGATGAAATATTTGTACAGACATTTGGAAATACAAGTAAATAGACTTTGGAAGTATTTAGAGGTATTTAAATCTTCAGAGATTTTGAGGTAACTATGTATATAAGTTGTAAATATTTTTAAATAACATGTACTGTACATAGTTTTTTTTTTAAGTATTTGGAAGCAGGGGCCAAAATTAGCACTTATACTTAATTTTGGATAGTATACATAAAAATACTGATACCTGAAAGCCTTTGGAAGTATATACAGAGCTGGAAATGTTTGGGAGTACAGTGTACAAGTATATAGATATTCGACAGTATTGTAAGTATAAAAGTATGCAAATGTTGCCAGATATTTAGAAATGTGTGAATATCCAGGTTTAGCTGTTGGACCCGGGCGGGGAAAGTGTGAGGCGAGGGGAGGGGAGATGGCGTTACCTTCCGCAGTACCAGAGAGGCCGTCGGCTTTGAAGTTGCTGGTGCTCTTCTTCCGCCGGTGCTTCTTGCGGTTGGCGTGCGGCGATGGCGGCGGCTCCATCTTCGGACTGGTGGTGCTGGAGATACTGGGACTGGAGCAGACCGAGTCTCCGAGGCCGGTATCTGCAGATTCAAACAATACAGATATCTGAATGTATATGAGGATATAAATATTTAAAAGTATGTAAAATCACAGATATTGGAAGTACATAGATATTGGAAAGTACCTTAGGATATATAGATTTTTTTAAAGTATATGAGGATTTGGAAGTACATAAGAAAACAGATATTTGGAAGTATTTAAGAATATAGATATTGTGAAGTTTTCGGAAGCGGGTAAGTATGTAATATAAATATTCAGAAGTATTTTTAATGTATTTAAATTTTTTACGACCTTCTGAGTTTACATTCGTCGATGTCGGACACTAAAGCTACAGGCAGCTGAATCTTCTTCACCACGATAAAAGTCTGAACCAGAGTCAGAGTTTCTGAAACCTAAACGAGTCCTGGTCCACATACAGGTCTGGAGGATGAGGGATGGAGCTGCGTGGGGGGGCGAGCGAGGCTACCAGAACAGGGAGTCGAGTCTCTCTCTCTCTGCCCTCCACTCTTCACGGCGGCTGCTGACAGCTGTGACTAGCGGCGGAATAAAATAACATTCAGCTTCCATCAATATCACATCGCCGCGGCGACACTGACATGGGCGGCGTGTGTGTGTGTGTGTGGATAGAAACACACACGTATATATACACAAGCGCTCGTTGGGCCGCCGCGTCCCCCCGAACGGCAGACCGCCCCAAGGACGGCCATAACTTATTTTACAATCGTTTAGTCTCAGCTCAAGTGGAAAATGTGACAACTTATCTCTGCTGACAAGATGCCATCCCCGAGAGTGCAATTAACCGCCGTGGATTAACGGCCCTCCCATCTGCACGCCGTGCTCCTTCCACGCCACCCCACCCCTGCCTCCACCTCCACCCTGAGCCTCAAGACTTCCTCCTCCTGCTTCACTTTCCCTCCTTCTGAACATCTCGCCTGTTTGTTTTCCCTCGACTCTGAAGCTCATCGACAGTTTGGACACCGGCTGCTAAGACAGCGCCGACCACTGACCAATCAGAAGCAGACGGATTCTAAACCCACATGCATTAATATGGAGCTGCAGCTATGACAGCTTCCACTCCTCTGTGAAGACTTTCTACAAGATCTTGGCGTTTGTCTGTGGGAACTGCTTTCAGTTCACCCAGAAGAGAATTTGTGAGGCCAGACACTGATGTTGGACGAGAGGACCGTCACAGGTGTTGGATAGGGTTGAGGTCGGACGCGCTGTGTCAAGTTCTTCCACACCCAACTGAGAAAACCATTTCTTTACGGAGCTGGCTGCACGGGGAAAAGGCCAAACACAAACTGTTGGAAGAACTAGTGTTTAAAATAGTATTAAGGAGCATTAAGATTTCCCTTAACAAAGACCACACCATGAAAAAAAGTATATGAACAGGGGCGTCCCAGGACTTTTGGCCATGTAGTGTATTCATGTGGCGAGTAAAATGATTACTGATGAAACTAAAATTATCTGTCTTATCTTAACTTTGCAGTTTAAAACATGGAGATAAATGCAATTAATCGTCACAATCAGATTTTTCAGCCCAGTGGTCGCCGGGTTCCTAAAACTCTACGTAGACCTCTCAGTGTTTGTAAGGCAGTCTCTGTTTACCTCTGTTCGGCTCACTTTCAGGTTTAAATCTTACTTTAACATCAGGAGCTGAAGGTTGGAAACAGAGCTGCGTATGTGAGTGTGGCCCCCGGGAGCCCATTGAAAGCATTTCACAGCTTTAAACGTTATTTTGAGGACGTCTGCAGGGCACAACACTGACGACAGAGCTGCCAGTCAAGCTTATCGTCACGAAAACACACACACACACGGCCTGACAGCTGTCAGTCTTACCATCTCGCTGTGTGGGAGGCAACACTGGCACTTAACATGTCACACACAGAAACACGGTACACACATATAAAGACACGCATTGCCCATTAGCTTGACGTACTGCTAAGGCAGCATTAAGGTCTGGCAGGTGGATCAATGGGAGACAAATGATAGGCTCCCCCGCGGAGCTGCGCACTGGGGCCTTCTGAACCCCAGCAGTGCAGCTGCGCGTGTGGACCCGATCTGTACGGCCGCATCATGACTTCTAAATAAATTAGGGCACATGTGCACTTCAGTACCAGATTTAAGAAGTGAAACTTTCACCAGGCCTACATCACTACGAGCGTTTGTTTGTTTTACCCGTGCTGACTCCGGAGTTGGCGATGACGGTGGCGTCGGTCCACTGGTCGGCGCTGGAGACGGAGTAGGAACGCTGGTGCATCCCCTCCAGACCTCGGCTGTTAAAGGACACCAAGCTGACGCCGCTCGCCATCTGAGACACCGACGAGCTGCTGCTCACCGAACCTGAGAGAGGAAGTCGGGTTCAACACGTCAGTCTGAGGAAGAGGAGGAGGAGGAGGAGGAGGGGCCTTCAACAAACTGCCCCGTCCCAGAACACATTTAAAGATATTTTACAGGAATGTAAATGTAGCGCCTTTCGAGTCTTTTACACTACGTCGCACCCTGGAGGAGCCGGGGATTGAACCGCCGATTAACGGGCAACCCGCTCTTACCTCCTGATAGGTGGCGTTATATTTATTTTTACATATACAAATGTGTAAATGTAACAGTGTGAACTGGCATACAAGCAGGCAGAAACGCTCCTTTCAGTGTTTAATTATTTAATTATTGGATATTAGTACTAATCTAATTGTTAACCTGTAGCCAATGTTAGAAGATTACACTACTGGTTAGTAAGTAGAATCTTAATCTGTAGTAAATCATTAGTAACTAAAGCTGTAAATAAATGTTTCTATTAGTAGGAGCTCAAAGAGGTTACTGCTAAACTCACAACAAGGTACCGCTCTGTTGTTTCCCACAACAGCTCAGGACCAAGACTTCTGACTTGTATTTACTACCAACAGGAAGTTAAGATACAAAACGGGAAGTGGGACGCACGACCATCACCGGGACAAAGGAAACCTAAAGCAAGAAAACAGCTGGGAGATACGTCTTTGAAAACGAGACAAAACGTTGAAGTTGGTGTGTGAAGTCATGTCACACACAGAAACACAGACGGGGGACCATAAAAGGCAGCTTCTTACAAGCTGGCTGCTTAAATCAAACCCTTGAGTTAGTAAGAGGCTGCGTGGTCCAACAGCCGGTGAATCATCCCTCCCCTCCCTCACCCCTCCCTCCCCCGTCTCATTACAGCTCATTTCTTGGTGCTGGCTGAGTGGAGCCAGGACTCTGATTGCATTAATATTCATGACAATAATTAGTACATGGAGTACGGCTCACTGAATATTCATGCTATTAGCTCGGGCCTCCTGGATCCCTGTGTGTGTGTGTGTGTGTGTGTGTGTGTGTGTGTGTGTGTGTTTGATTTAAGCAGAGCTTGAGCTGCTTTAATGTGTGTGTGTGTGACACGGAGGAGCGCTCGTTTCCCTCCACCTTTTGTTTACGACGTCTTGCTTCAGGAAGAAGAAGCGCTTTGTGTGTTTCAAGGCTGAACTAAGCCGTTGCTTTTTGTTTTTATATATATATATATACTTTTTATTTAAACTCTTCTTTCAATATTCAACCTTTACTGACTCAGGAAGGACGAGACAAGCTCGTGTTTATGAGGAAGCATCAAGAGGAGCAATTAGCGGCACAATTAAAAACAAATGTCCTCATGTCGGAGTAATTACTGGTTATTCCTCAGCATAATATTTGAAAGAGTGACTTGGACCACTAAACATGACGTTGTACTTCAAGGGCGTGGAGTACAAATATCTTATCTCTCATTTGTTTATTTCCAGATTATTATTTCATTTATTTATTGTCTGATTTTAATCACCAAATCCACATGAGAAGCACAAAGATGCACTCCTTCCCTTTATTTCTGGTTTCAAATTTAGACTTAATGCAGGGATGAAAATATCACCGTCACGTTTTATCTGATCTGAGGCCTGAGATTCTGCAGGGTGTATCAATAAAATGTCTTGTGCTCTCAGGTGAAACTCCTCCCTCACCTGGAGTCTGCCCGAGCTGCATGCTGCTCATGTCCTTCGTCAGGCCGTTGGTTTTGGGACTCTGCACGGGCGCGCAGGTGGACACGGCGCGAGGCGGCCTCTTCCCGGGACCTTCACCGTGGTCCTCAGCAGGTCGATCTCCTTACCGTGGACGTTCTGCATGTAGTCCTGAGAGAGAGGGGGGGGGGGGGGGGGGGGGACAGAGAGAGTGAAGCTTTGATGCAAAAAGACAGTAAATCAGCTGATCCAGGCAGGGCAGCAGCACCTGTCAGATTAAAGCAACAACCTGAGAACAGCTGTTTGTCCAACAGAAAAGAACTATATGAAGATATAAAACAGGTTCAATTACATGTTTAAAATCCAGTTTCATTCCTTTAAACAGTGTATTTAGACTTTTACAGCTTCTTTAGAGCGTAAAACAAGAACTGAGGAAGCAGATTCAACCACTGACCAATCAGAAGACAGTCTGCATGAACTGTAGAGGGACCATTTACCGTTCATCAATTAATAAATAATAAATAAGTTAAATGACTTATTGCAGCCTTGCATTTTGTACTTTTTAAATAAACTAAATCAACAGACTGATGATCATCACGAGTGTGTCGTTCTCAGGTGGCATTAATCCGGATAATAAAGCAGCGAAAGCCCCAAATAAAAACTAATCCCTCAAAGCGGCACTGAAGGGGCGAACCACGCCGACTCTGATTGGCTCCGCCCGCACACTGACACGCCCAAAACAGCCTCGGACACCCCCCCCCTCTCTCCTCTGGTCCGAAAGGGCGGATCAGAGTAGTGAATAAAAACAAGTAGTTGTGTTAATGATGGACGAGAGGCGCTCGTTAAATCCACCCCCCCCTCCCCCTGAGCAGGTGAAGTGCGAGCGGTGACCTGAGAGGAGCAGAGCTTTGTGGGAGGTCGGCCTCCTCCTTAACATGAAGGAGGCGAGGAGAAACAAAGCTCACACAACCCGCTGGGCCGGATTAAAACCACTTGGGTGAGAGTTTGCTGCTGTCTTTGTGAAGACCGGCAGCATTCAGACGAGAGACCGAGGACGCTTTAAAAGAGCGAGGTATTAAACTGAAGTGAGGACATTTAGAAGGTCTGTACAATTTTACAACGTCAGGGCAGTTTTAAGAAAGTACGGACTCCCCAAAGAAAGAACATTTTTTAACATCTCACTTCTTTAAAAGTTTGTTCGAGGGTTTAGACCTGGCTTAAGGTTTAAATCAGGTTCAGGTAAAGTTTTAGCTCTTCTTGTCAGTGACGGTCTTTCCAAGTACATCTGTTCAAATGTGTGTTAAAGCCAGTCCCTCCAGGATTTCAGCGTCACTTGCGATATTGACCAATCACTGCAAGTTTTCCGCAAATTTGACCTATCGTCGCCGTTTCCTGTCGAACGTTGTCGTACGTCAGCAAACTCACTTCCTTGTTTACAAGTTGCAGCAGACATGCGTGATACCCACGTTTCACATTTGCCTACAAACATAAGAGCGTGAAGACAAGGATCCAGATCTTCTTTGCCAAAGCGGGGAAACGGTTTTGCAGAACGTGCAGCATTGTGGTCGAACATGAAGGAAATCTGTAACTGAGACACAGGCAGCTGCATCCCGGTCAACTGCAAGCACTGAAAGATTTAAGGTAAGCGGGTTTAAATGCTGGATTAGGCCCGCCAAGTCCTGGACGGACTGTTTAATGATTCAACTGCAATTCTAAAGGTAAAAAAACAAATCACCTTTGCAGTTTTTCACTTATTTACACAATTTCATCGCAATAAAACGTCCAGAAACATCACAATTTGTTACAAAAGCTGCCGCAAATTCAGGCATTTTAGGCCACAACAATCACAAAAAACACCCGTGAATTCCAGGAGGGACTGTAAGAGTGAAGAATAAAGATGATAAAATGAATTTGTGAACACAATATAATAATAATAAATAATAATAATAATATAGTTTAATTTCGCTATGCAAATACTGTTTCACAAACACCTGTACACTTGCTGGGCCCCTCACTGACATGACGCGTCCCCTAAACCTTAAATTAACCTTAACCTAATTACAACCTCAAATCTAAACCAACTCATCTCCGTCAGACGGACGTTTACAGGAGTGAGGACCAGAGAAAATGTCCTCACTTTCCAGCTCTGAAACTCTAATTGGTCCTCACAAAGATGGAATAAGTGGAGCGTACTCTTATTAAACACTCTCTCTCTCTCTCAGAGTTTCCCGCCTCCCTCTGGCAGCTCGGCTGACAAAAGGCCAATTCAAAGCCAAGTGCTCTCGACGGCGTCTTAACAAGCCACCGGAGAGCCCTCGAGCCAGGGGCCCGCTGGGTAAACCCTCCACACACACACACACACACACACACACACACACACACACACACACACACACACACACACACACACACTCCCCTCCGACAGATTGACCGAGGTAATTGAGTCTCCATTTGCATCGAGGAGCTTTCATCATCGGCCTGATCGTCCCGGCACGCAGCGCCGTCCAGGACGGATGTGTGTATCGACCAAACACACCAACAGCAGGTGGTGGTGTGAGAAAATGTTTGAGGGTGTTTGTAGCCGTATGAGGGAGTGTGTGCAGGGTGTGTATGTAATGTGCGCGTCGCGTTCACCCGGTATAAATGGACGCATAAACGGCGACGTCGGTGTGAAAAATGCGACATGAACAGAGAGCTGAAAACTGCCGACGCCGCGGGAAACACGGATCCATAAAGAGCGAGCTCGTCCAGAAAAACACGATCGATGGAGAAAAAGGAGACAGGAGATAAAGGAGAAGAAGAAGCTCTGCGGCCAGACAGGAAACATTAAGAAGGAAGCGATGAAGGTGTGAAAATGGAGGAAGGAGACTAGAATAAAACTCTCAACAGAGTGCGAAACATAAAGAAGGCATAAAGACGGCGTACACTCATCAGTTTATCGTGTACACCGAGGTTATCACGTTCAGCTTGAGTTGATCACATTACACTTTATTTATGTGCTTTTATTTATATATGTTACCATGTTTTAACACACATTTAATCATCTGTTCTGTGTGTGTAGCATGAAGAGACCACAAACTTTGTTTTTGCAACACAACCTTGTGCTGTATAATGATAAATAGTTAAAAATGTTTAGTTATTTCTTTATAGAACTATATTTAATTGGTGAAGTTTCTTCAGGTCTTTATCGTGTATCTTGTAATGTGTTTTATTATCTTTGCTCTTCTTGAAACACTTTGTAACCTGGTGCTCTATAAAAATTATTATTATTATTATACTGCCAGGTGTTTATCTATTATTTTGTCCACCTGTCTGACACACAGCTCATACATTCACATATTATTCTGTACAATCGTTTGTTTATATTTCTCTGTTATTCTTAATTATTTTACATATCTGCATTCTTAAATTTACCTTTTAAGACTTATTTTAATTTTTAAGTCCTTTATTGTCACACTCGACACACCCGAGCAAGCTCTATTTGCTGATGAAGGATCATGACATGCAGCTGAAAGACCGGGAAAGGCCAGTAAGTGGAACTTGAGTCTAAACCGGTCACATTTCAGCCTTTTAGTATTAAGCTGTACTGGTTCGCTGGTTTATCAGAAAGTAACGGAACTCTTCTGTGACTTCCTATCTTCGTTATCACCTTCTTTCTGCAGTGCTACCTGTCCACCTGCTGGCGGGCGTGGCTGCAGGAGAAGCTGTTGTTCACGTTTTAAGCTAACAGAACCAGATCATTTCAGCCTCTAACCCCGTCAATGTCACCTCTCCTTACAGAGGGCGGTTCATTTCTCTCCCGCCTGCTCTTGGCCGGATCTTCTTCACTTTGCAGGGGACTTTTCTTGCCAATTAGGTGGCATCTATTGCCATCCACTTAATTAGCGGCATTAATGTGATTTCTTTGCACATAGTCGGGCAATTAGCGGCGCTGATTGAGTTTCGTTCGATTAGCCTCCGCAAACAAGCTAATTGAGCTGCAGATGCAACGCGCTCAGGAAAACCTGGCTTTTTGGTGCTGGAGGGGGTTTGTGTGTGCGCGTGTGTGTGTGTGTTGATGTGTTAAGTGATGAGTTTTATCACTAATTTACCGCATCAGCTGCTCTAATCGCTGATGAACGTGTGCAGTTAGGTGAAGTGTGGAAGCTCAGGGACGAGCGGCTCCAGGGGGAATCGAACCAACAACCCCTCCGACCACGAGGAGGCTGGGACTCAAACTTACAACCCACTGGGGTTAAACCTCTTTCCTATAATTTGTGCTCAAACATTTGAGTTTAGAACATTTAGCTGACCGAGAGTTCGGCAACTATTTTGATAACCGGTGAATCATTTTAGTCATTTTTCAAGCGAGAACACCAAACATCTGCTGATCTCCTGGTGCCCGAATGTGAAGATATTCTGCTTTTCCTTAACTTGTGTGACGGCAGAATGAATATTTTATTCTTTTAGAGGGTCACAACAATCTATTTGAAGGTAATTTTCACTATTTTATGTTATTTTATGGACAGAACAAGTGATTTAAATTCATAAAAAGACAAAACGATAATGAAAATAACAGTTAGTTGCAGCCCCAAAATGTTTCTCCTCCTTCATTTATCTCTTCTCTATCTTTCTGTTTCTCTGTCAGTTTGAGTTAGAGGGTGTGAAATCTATTCCAAAGAGAACCTGCAGTAAACAGACGTGAACCCAAAATTAATTTAAAGAGAGAAAAAGACCTTCAGATCCAGTCAGATCATGAAAACATAATTCAGTACAAACTACTAAAGTAGTCTAAATGTCCACATCGTAACTACATTAACAAATTGATGGCTCAAGTAAAGTTTGGTTCAACGACCTGTCAGTCCTGATAAGCCTGTCTATAAAATCCCAAGATGTTCAGTTTACAAAGAGATAAAATAAAAAAAAAAGCTAGCAGCAGATAAAATTTGGCATTTTTGCTTAAAAAATAGCTCAAACGTTTAATCGTTTATCATGTTGTTGCCATTTAATTTCCTGTTGATTGATGGACTGACTGATTGATCTCCAGAAGTCCCTGTTAGGTTTCAGAAACGTGACATAAACGGACGGTTTATGGTTGCTCCACGGTTCAACAAAAGCATTTTCCGGCTACATTATTTTACTTTTACTCTGATTAATAAATGTTCCCCTCTGCAGATTAAACACAGGTTTTTAACCGCATCAAAAACCTGTCGAAAGCATGGCGTCCGACAGAAATTCTGCACCAGGAGAGAAGAGAGACACAAAGAGTGTGTGTGTGTGTGTGTGTGTGGTGTGTGTGTGTGTGTGTGTGTGAGATAATAAAACAGCGCCGGGCAGGATATTGTGCCAACAGGGCAGAGAGCCGGGGCAATTAGCAGAGACATTACAGCTGATATTCACATCATCAACGCCGACGTGGGCAAACAGATGACGAGTCCTAATTAATACACAAGCCATCAACACTGTGTGTGTGTGTGTAGTTGTTTCTGGAATCACACACACGGGATGGAGATGAAGAGCAGCAGATAGATGGAGGTCAGTGCAGGCTGGCAGAGTGCTGGAGTCTAATAAGCAATCAGAGAGGGTTAGTAATGAGTGTGTGTGTCTCACATGCAGGCTGGGGTGGTAGGTGAGCAGTCCGTTGTCACACAGCGTCACGTACTTCTTCTTCCACTCCTTGTTGAGGGATTTACCGCTTCTCTTCAGCAGCATGCCCTGCAGAGAGGAAACAACAGCAGCACGTTTAACACACTCGGTTTTATTTAATAATAATAATTTATAAGACAATTCATCCTCCACCAACATTGTGACGGTACGATCTAGTGCTCCTTAATGTGACATAATGACGTTAACAAGACAAAACTGTGAGTAAATCTCGCTAAAGGTTTTCTACTCTGCATCAAACCTTCTACAGGGCCGACGGCAACGTCATCTGGCACGAGCCTGCGGCGGCCCGCCATCCCATGTAGATTACCGTGAAAGAAATGTTTCCACTGTTCGCCATGATGAAAGACAAAATAATGGCACGTTCCAGAGTTGTACCTTCCTGCGTCAGAGGATTACAAACCTCCGTGAGTCGTTTAAATCGTCGCTCAAATCAGTTATTCAAACTAGACGCGTTCACGTTCGTGCCAAAGGAGTTGGGGCCGGGTCGACGTCTTGCAACCCACACTGAGGGAACTGTTTCTTTACGGAGCAACATTAATTAAAACAGAGGTGTCCACATACTTTTGGCCATATAGTGTCCAAAGTGAACGTCCCTGAGTCATAAAGTCCCTATTTGTGCATTTGTACATATCGATGCGTCTCTTTGTGCACATTGGAGCTAAATTACATTCAGAGGCTTTGGAGCGAAGCTAACGAGCTCACAGCCAGGAGACGGATTAAATAAGAGTTCATCTCTCCCCAAAACAACATCTTAACATCAGACATTTGCAGCGGGGCTGAAAGGAGCTGGATGTAAAGCAGCGAGGAGAGAAAAGACGGAGGGAAATCAGCAGTTATTTAATTGTCGGACTCGGGTTTTTTTCCCCACTCTCTCTCTCCTACGCACATCAGCTGCGGCTGACTGACCGTTTAGGCCGAGCGACCGCCCGCTCGCCCGCCCACACTTCATTTGAGCTGGATTCATTAGGTTAGAGAGAGAGAGAGAGAGAGAGAGAGCAAGAAGGTCACAGAGAAAGCGGGAGAGAGCGGGTCGAAATGGGAGAAAGAAGAGAGATCTAAAAGAGAGGAGAAGGGGGGAGAGTGGCGGGGGATAAAACTGTCCGCTGATTAGCAATTACAGCCGTGCTGCCACGCGTGTCACTTCACTGGACCTCTACAACATTAACACTCCGACAGAGGATATTAATAGAGTCCAGCCGTGAAGGGAGGAAGAGGGGGAGTTAGAGGCACCACTGAAGAAGAGGGGGAGGAGAGGAGGGGGAGATGGACAGGCCGGCTGATGGACAGAAGCCTGCTCTCCGCCGCCCCGACCGCTCAGCTTTCATTAAGGCGGTCGTGGTGGTGGGACAGGACGGCAGGCCCGGGGGTGACCCTCGCCGCCAGTGACGGCACATTCGGCGTAATTGGCGGTGACACAACGCCAGGAAGGAACGCCTTAGAGAGACAAAGAGGGACGTTGAACGCAAGCGGTGGTGGCGAGCTGTGAGACAAAATGTGTCCGTCTTCCTGAAGAGTCTCAAAAGTGAGACACCAAAATCATCCAGATACGGAGTGATGGTGGAGACAAGAGGACGTCAAGAGAGATGTGGGGAGTAGAAACACGTCTCTGGGTTCCTCTGGGTGCCAAATTAAAGTTATTTTCACAGTAATCAGAAAGTTAAAACGTGTATGAGCAGCAAGGTTTCATGAACTCGCTGATGATGACGGATGGAGATCTGTGAGCGGCTGACATTCCTGTAGCTAGCACGCTAGCTACAGGAATGTCCAGAAATCTCTCAACGCACGTCAGGGTGAATTCCTACAGACTGTGATGATCCTAAACGTTTCATCCCGCGCCACCGTCAAGTCGGAAGGTCACAATACCTGCAAAACCACATTCCCATCAGCCTCAGCTGTACTTTGTCTTTAGTGCCACTACGCAAACGTTAGCACGCTGACTCGCCGAGCTAAAACGTCCACCACGGTAAACGCTTGTCAAACCCACTCGACCCGGCTCGGGTGTCTCTCAGGGATGGAAATGAATTCAACGATACGGACGTTTAAACGTCATTTAACTGACTTCTCGTTCGCACCTCTGCTACATTAAACGGCTAACATACAGTATATATCTGATATCTAATACAGTCCGACCTCTGCACAGCTCTTCTACGCTTATACACCTTCAGATTTAGACATTTGCTGAGTCCCTTTCAGGAAGACCTGCTGATCTGATCTGGTGAAGTGTATCTGTGGAACTTAGTCGAGTCAGTGATGTTGTGAGGAAGTAAAGCCGCGTGTGAGCTGCCGCAACAACAACAGGGGTTCCCCACGGTGCGCTAAACGCGACTTGACGAGCTTCCTGCTGCTCTGAAGTGAAAGCTGCCGGCAGCCGTGCAGCTGTCAGGCCAGCTGATCATCCATTACTGCCTGTTAGTGAGCGAGCGGCAGCATGTTTCCAGGCAGGGGAGAGAGAGAGAGGATGTGTGTTTACACTACGGCTGTCATCAATTAAGATTTTTTAGGTCAGCTCAGACTCATGGGATTTTACCAATTTTAATCAATCAAAAAGCCAATTTCACAGATAAACTCACACTGAGATAATATTTAATAATCATCAGGGGACGTGAGTTAGAAATTAGACATCATCAAACACACAAGATCGATCAGACAAGTGTTGTTGAACTCGAGAATCATTTTGAGCAACTTAACTTGCTATCTGGTAAATTTGAAGAGCATGACGGTTTAGGTCAGGCGGTAAACGTCTGACCGTTAAAGACAAGTGAAGACATGCAAATCCAAACTGGTGCCATGTTTTGTGTTCTCTTTACCCCTGTTGTTGCTTAATTGTTCATTTGTTGTCGAGCTGCAGTGCAAAGTCCAAAACTGAGTTCTCCACGGGGAAAAATTAAAGTAGATGATGATCTTAATGATTTGAATTTAACAAGAAAGAAATGAGAAAAAACTTCCAGTCAGACACAAATATTTCTTACGTCCTACACATCAGCCGCCTGAAGGCGTGTCTGCCTGCGAGCCGGTGCCTTCAAATCGTCATAAAAACTGACAAAACATAAAACATTAAAGTGTAGGGATGCATAGATTAATTCTGCAACATACGTTCTACCAATATTCTCCTTTTGGCTTGTATTATTTCAGAGATATCGACCTCTGGAACTTTAAATAAAAGAGAAAGCTCCAGAGTTATGACTGTGTGGCTTTCCCCTCCCTTAACTGTCAGATTTTATCCCCATGTCCCCTCTTTACGGCTTCACAGACGAGAAACACACAAAATTCTTTCATCAAGAACCGGTTAAAAATGAGGAATTAAAGAATACTTCTGCAGAGGACGGTAAAAGGAGGGGATAAAAGTGAAAGGAGAGACGAAATGAGAAGGTCAGTAGGATCTTTGAATGATGTTGAAGTGGACGACCACTGCAGGCCTGGACTGAACTAAACTGAGGGGTGAGACACTATTTCTTACTCTTTTTCCATCCAAACCTGGTATTTGGGGAGGGAGACGTCAGCAAATTAATTTTGGCCATCCATCCTGGGGATGACAAGCGATCAGTTTGCTCCAGGGGAAGGCTAATTGAACGCCGCGTCGAAGCCCTCCTGATGGGTAATATCTTTCATTATTCACCTCCCCGGGCTTCGTGACACACACACGTCGCCTCTTATTTTACCTACGGGAGGGGTGGGGGGTGGGGGGGGTGGCAGCCATGACAGCTCACAAGGTCTCCACATGGGAAAATAGATGTGGGGAGATAAATACATCCTCAGATATACTCTCTCCTCGCTGCACCGAGGCACTTCTCCGCCCCGGTGAAGTATTGTGGGGTAGTGCTTAGGAAAAGGTCGCTAGCTTGGGGGGGGTGGCGAGGAGATGAAGTCATTTGTTAAGCATCCGAAAATGTCCAAGGGCATTACTAAGATTCACAACGTTGGGTTCTTCAAAACAAAGAGACCACGTTGCGTTCAAGTGGACAAGACCAGGAGGGTGAGGGAGGAGGCAAAAGGGGGAAGGACGCAAAGTCTTTTATTAAATATAAATACAAGTTATAGATCCCCAAATACACGAAACTCCCACGGACACACTCCCTCTTCTTTCATACCGAGTCTCCGCCTCGGTGAAGTATTGTGGTGTAGTGCTTAAGAAAAGGTCGCTAGCTCGGGGGAAGCCAAAAGATGAAGTCATTCGTTAGGCGACGCATCCGAAGATGTTCCCGGGCTCCCACCTGAGGGTCTCTGATTAAAGACCACAGCAGTCACATGTCGGACATGTTAGAGGAGCAAAATGTTGGATGGAACACGGACGTCAAAATTAATAATGAGCGGCAAAAGCTTATTGTGCTGGGTTTGTGGATCGCAGGGTAAAAAGTGACAAACAGAAACCAAGAAATGAAACGTAATCCCTCCTCGCACACAACACTTCCCTTCCATTGTGTGAATCTGAGCACCACAAGAAAGCAAGCATCTGATAAAGGGACTTTTATTTTAGGTTTGTTTCCTCCTGGAGGCTGCCCGTCTGTTGATACAGACTCTCCAATCACTCAATCACCCCCCTTTTTCCCCTCAAACAATGGACTCTCCCCAGGCCTCCTGAAGGGAGTGACAGCGGATCTTAGAGGAGATATGGAGGAGGCGCTATCTGTGGAAAAGACGTGGACGAACCCTCCAGAGAACAGGGTGATCTCGAAGGGGCCGGGGCCCTTTTGTTCTTCAGTGTCCTCAGAGAGCGGGAGGCTAAATTAGAGGTGTCACCCACCGCCGACAGCGGAGCGGGGGGTGACGGCCGGCGGGAGGGAAGCCGGACGCTCCCTCCTCTATCGTGGCGGCCATCTGATCCGGCCCGAGCAGTGATCGCAGGTCATCCATCATCCTCTCAGACAGAGGAGAGTGTGTTGGTTTGGTATCGACTGTGAGATCGCAGTCAGGTCGGTGAAACGCTCACTGGTCGAATCACAGGAGCCAACAAAGGGGAACTGAGGAGAATAGTGGCGAGAAGCTGGAACCATCTTGTAATGATATACATAAATAATGATTATTCAAAACGCAGGAAAAAGCAGAGACACTTC